TGCACCATTCGACTTTTAATTTGTTTTTTCAATATTTCCACTTTACTACGGTACGTGGTGCCGTGGTTACAATGATTGCATATGTTTCGAAATCACTCTGTATATTTTGTGCAATTCCCAAATTTATAACTAATCATATACATCATCAAAGGTACAAGAGGTATACTATCCTCAAAGATATTTGGCGTTTATGACTTCACACCAATTTGACTCCCATTATAATTCAATAGGCCGTCACAACCGGATGTCTTAAACCCGCTCACCGATACCTACCTGAAAAGACCTTTTCGACGTGCCAGGGACGGTCGAGACGCGAAGGACCGGACTCAGAGTAATTTTGTTTGTTAAAATTTTCAAATTTCAAAATTTCCTTACGGAACATGATTTATACTTTGAAGAAAATTACACAAAGACACAATTATTAGAAGTGTTACACACTCGAAAATTTGAGAAACAATATAAAATAGATGCTATGGCGCGAGATCGTGGATTTAGGGTGATTAGTAGACAGCGGATTTCTGTCGGGCTACGTCACGATTATAGGTGGGGACGCGCTGGATCGCCGGGACTCAGTAGCGGGTGATAGATAATCATTGAATTTGAATATCACTTATTCCATAAGTACAATTAACGATTTATTAATCAAACGGCTAAGTAAATGAGAACTGGAATTAACAGCAGAGTGCAACGAATCAGCGGTATTCTAATCTCAAATAAACGAAGTGCAGCCCGTAACTGCAATGAATTCCCATCCCGTACGAGCCGTACCGAGTTTGGCTTTGTCTAGCCCGACCGAAATCCGCTCTCTACATCACACTTCCGCCGTACCATTGTATATTTAACCCCATCGAACTAATCTGGTCGCAAATGAAAAATAATATAAGAAGGAATAATACGGCACCAAAATTTAGTAGTGCAACAATTGACATAATTAGGGAAGAAGCTTCCAAAATAACTGCCGAAATGTGGGCCAATTGTGTACGACATTCCACAAAAGAAGAAGACCAGTACAGGGCACGGTTGATAACACCGTTAATTATTAATTTAGAAGAGTCGAGTGATGATGACAGTGACTATTTCGATCAATAAATAAGCAGTAGTAGTTAATAAGTAAATAGTTGTGCTGTAATAAAAATAAAAAACTCGAAAGGCGCAGTTGTCGGTAAATGCAAAACTCAGATCCTGCCCTGTGCTTTTACCAGAAAAGGTCTTTTCAGGTAGGTATCGGTTTAAGACATCCGGTTGTGACGGCCTATTGAATTATAATGGGAGTCAAATTGGTGTGAAGTCATAAACGCCAAATATCTTTGAGGATAGTATACAAATTAAGTACACAGACATTTAGAATCACTGCGGAGAGTGTTTTGTGCACTGTTTTAAATACTTCTATATTTTTAGTCAATTCTGTAGTATAATGCACTTTAAGGCGCTTTTAGTTAATATAAATATGTGTTATTTTGATTTTAATAAAAAAAAAACACCTTGAGATTTTTAGCTCTTATCTTTTTCTATTTACTGACGATAATTATTACATTATTACAACTAAATTTAATGTTTTTTTGAGGTTTCACAACTTAAATAAAATGAAAATTTCGGTCACCCATTCCAGTCTCTCTGTCACCTGACTGTCTGTTTTTGTATGTTTGACAGTGGTTTTAGTAGGCAAATAATTTTTAAAAGTAGGGAAGCGATTATTTCGAAATTGTATGTGTATTTTAAGATTATCGCGTATGTTTCGTGTACTACTCAGTTTTCCTGAACAACTGACGCCATCATTTCACAGTTCTATAAATTTGATCTAAAGTACATATCATAACATGTGCTTTTACCCTTTAATAATATTAATGTTTTTACTATAAAATTAAATATTAAATATATCTGCCATTATAGTAAAAGTATAAAATGATATAGTGCATCAAAAATTAACACATTAAAAGTTATGCTATAACAAAATTTTATAAACTTTATAACTGTACAATCGACTCTCTGAAGTAACAACAGATTACGTAATAAACTTCTTCAAAATTTATTTCTTCATCTCCCTTAATAAACTGGTAACTCCAAAAATAGTGACACCGATATATTGACGGAAGATATAATGGAATATCAGGATGAATAATCTTTTACATAAATACAAACTCCTCCACTTCTACGTTTAGGACCATTAGTTTTAAAAAATTTCAGACAACAGAACAGCAGATAGACTAGTTGATTGTATAAAGCAAAGAAGGTCAATATACCGAGAGAGCAAACAACACTATCAACGACGGCGATGGATTTTTGAAGAATTGTCTTTGATGGAATTTTCGTCTTATCAGATTACCAGCAATTTGAAACTTTAAGTTGCAAATACAAATTTCAGAATTCCACCGCTGTCTTCAATCGTGTTTTTTATCGCTCTCTCTGTATTTCGCCTGAAGAGAGCAGATAACTGAAAGTTCGGGAAGATTACTTAGTTTATTGGCTATCCAAAAGTACAGTTTTGTACCCTTACAACAATAGTCTACACTTGATTCGTCAAAACTTTGAAGTCTTTACCACTACATTTAAGTGTCACAATAAAGTGCCAGAAATAATTTGGATCTGAACATTTTGTTACGGAAAAACTCACTTGAAGCATATGCATAGCATGTTCCTTTAGCTGTACTTTAATAGTTCACACATATTATAAGTTATAGAGATTATCATTAAAAAATAAAACTTGCAAAATTAAATATTATGATTTTTCGAAGAAGGCGTAGGTATATGTTCGTCCGTACTCCGTACTATACATTATGCCTTAACGGTATAAAAGTATGTTTTGATCATATCAGAAACAATTCAACTAATTTTCCTGAAATTTTTGAAATAACTTTATACATTTTATAAGGGACGAGAAAATAGTAATACATACGAAGAAAACAGAAGAGAAGGAAAACAATTCAAGATCTGAAATATACATAAAATGTTGTTTTAAACAAGAACTTTAAACCGCCGCTTTAACGTTAGATTAATTTTTGGGAATTAATTAAAACAAAATAGAAAACACTTTTAAAAGAAATTCGATTCGAAAATTACAAAAAACATCCAAAACTCATGTGTGGCAAGAAGATATAACTCTCCTACAACTCGTATACTTCTTTAAGCAACAGTTGTTCACAAAAAAAAATAGAAAATATATAGTCGACAAAAAAGACATTTCTGATATTAAAAAAATTACTTGGTTGAGCAATGAATAAAATGAGATAAATGTTAGAAAGATCTTGGCAAAGATTTATCCTAGTAATGTTAAAACAACACTGTAACGCAATCGATACATATAATTTATTTCAAATCTGAGTAGTAGAATAAAATTTCAGATCCGATCATGTAGCGGCTAACCGTGGTCATTTGATTGGACGATGGTCCATATCAGTTGGTAGTTAATCAACGTTTTGAATTCGAATGAAATCGTAGGAAAATATTCATTTGAATTCAAGGTGAACTGAAAACAGTTAGATAATGAAACATCGCCAGTGGTAATAAGTCATTACGTAACTGTGTTCTATAAACACGCAATTTAAACGCCGGAAGGATGAAAACATGGCTTACTTTATTATTTTAGAATATTTCATTTTAATTCTTCATCAAGAGAACATGGGATTTAATTAGATGGAACCTAAGCTAGGAAAAACAACAATAAACAACGAACCACAATTTGCGATATGTGAAGCCTCCAGATTACTTTTTTATTTGATTGGGTGTATATATTCTTCTTTCACCAAATATTTCATAATTAAGGCTTTTTGCGTCCGTATCAGGAAATATTAACGAAGTCTCCCTATTTTATGGAATATATTTTTGTAAAGTAATGTTAAAATTTAATCAAAAAATATACGTACCTAATCATTAATTTTTGTAGCAAACTGTAGACCCTGCAGTAAAGAATACTTTATTTTACACTCCTTTGGATTATACCTTTGGGAACGGTGTATAAAAATGTTAGCGAATTACGCAGATACTAAGGTAAATTCCAAACTGCGTTTAATTTGTGCTTGTAATATAATATATCTTTATACTTTTTGGTTTCATTTTAAATAAAAAAGCAATGCGCCTATAGAGCATTACGTGATTTTGTGAATACAAGAGATACTCTCCAAATGAGAAAACTTTTAATTTAGGATAACGAGATTATGGAGTGAAGAGGATAATGTGAAAGATCCTTTAAAGCAAAAGATAAATATCTGTGCAGGAACAACATCGACCTCCTTGGAAAGAATCTCTTATCGGTGATAACTTGCCTGCACAAAAAGTGTAAGTTTATTTACGCTTCTGAAGCACAACCAGTACCACACTGACAGTTCTGAGTGGCAACGAGAGAATGTTTAGGTAATTTCCTATAGTTCAGATATTTATAAGATAGTTTTAACCAAAAATTATCAAAAGAGACCGCGTACTGGCTTTAAACTTATATTGATTTCGATTTTAAATGGAATTACTTCATCAATATTTTGCCTAATGTCCAAAAAAAATGTCTTAAAAAAGACAAGATAATAAATTTTGGATCTATAAAACAGTACCTACAAAGGCAAAACTTTTAGAAAGTAATTTAAATGCAAATTACAAAAAGGATTTAAAAAATCTAAAATGAAAGCATTTGTAAAATTGTCTAATTGCAGTATTGTGTCAACTTCTGGTTTGGAAATAAAAATATAACAGAAGTTTAAAATCCGTTGATGATTGACTAGCTTATCTAGATTTGTCGCTTCTCAGCCGTGCTAGAATATTCTCGTGTTACAAACTTTGTGAAGAAGCCGCACATCAAACAAAGAAAATCTCGTACTAAGCCCAAACTAAATAAATTTATGATAAGATTTGAGCGTTTAAGTACGAGCTGAACCATATCCCGTATAAATTCGGCTAAACTCGCTCCCAGATTCATAGAATTAGCGTAATCCAGCGTCAAACAACCGCAACTTGATATCGGGGCGAATTAAGCGATCCGGAATTTCCGGGAAGAGCGACTGTTTACCGGAACTCACCGGCATCATTCGATTCCTGCGAGACGACGAAGCTCCGGCGACGGGATCCGAGGAGCAGCAGGAGCAGGAGTAGCCCCCGCAGGAGCGTCTCCTGCCAGCCCTGCCTCATGGTCACTCAACACTTTCACATGGCGCGTACGCGGCCCTCACGCGGATCATGCTGCAACGCACTGCCGCCGTGGCCGCCGCGCCGCTGATGCCTGCTGCTGCCGCCGCCACCACCACCGCCGCCTTCCGCAGGGGCGCGGACACCGAACGCGCATCCCACGACACAGCTGTTCACTTGTACGAAGAGGAGTTTACGTGGCCTTGGTGGTGGAATCTATAGGTTATCATTGTTTATTATTTTTGAAAATAGAAAAATTCAAAAATACGATTTTTGAACACTCTGGTTAGAGATTAAAATTTTTATAATGACTAGTTGAATACTTTTTTTTATTTTGTCCTTTTCCTTTGTTCGTTGCTTGGTTTAATCCGTTTGCCCATTTTCAACAGACATGTTGCGTACTTTAGTGGGCTTTCGGTATTTCAAGTTCAATGATTTTTTTCGCGTGAAACCATTTCATGTCAGATTGATTAAATAAAACACTGTTGCTAATGGATTGTTTTAAATATGCGGTAGGTGTATAATGGAAACGAAATAAAAAAAACGGTATACTTTTTTAGTGGTCGCACTTTTACGTTGTTCTGAGGATTTTGTTTATGCACGAAAACATAAAGAGTAATAATAATGATAATCATAACAGTAATTCAAACTCCTTCTTGCACCTGATTGTATGATTAATTGATTAATAATAAGGTTGTGCAATAGAATGACAGAAACAGGTTTTTTTACACTAAGACGTTTGGTATAGTGCATTTCCGATGTTTGTTTAATTTGATGATATGTACATAGAAAAAGGGGAATAATATTTGAAACGGTTTCAAACAACCATCATACATATAATACAACTTATGCTGGATGATGCTAAAAAACTGGAACAAAATTGACGATAGGCTTGAGTAGTATCTTAAAAAAAGGTCCCCTAATCTCATCTTTTTCGTGATCAGTGAACGTCGGATTTCCATTTAAGATCATCATATAAATTAGAAAAATATCTATCCATTTGCAGCATTTTATGTAGATGAATACCTAAATGTTTCGATTGTTTCAGCGTTATCGCGTTGACTGACGTGGATCTTAGAGACTTGGTAATTTTTGGGTTTCTTTTTTTTCAGTGGTATTTTTAGAATCTGCTCCATCGTAGCAGGGAGGAAATGCAGCATAAGAACTGGGTCATCAAATCAACTAGAACGACTTAGTGTGTCGTAGAATTTCTTACACAGTTATAGGCAAGAAATGAAGGTCAGATTGAGTTAATCTTATCATGAAAGGTTTGGTAAAGCACGAAGTTATGAATTCAGAATATTTAAGGCAACAAACATAGTTAATAAAACGTCGATTATTTGGTAATGTATTTAAGTGTACCTATTTAATTTTTTTAATAAGACTGCGAATGTAAAGATTGCACGAAGTGTTGCTCGATTTTCTATCGCCTCTTAATAAGGACAGCCTACAATAGTATATTTCAGTAACTCATAAGTCATAACTTCCAGTAAAAACACATTCCATATGGTCCATGTTAACAGGAACGGATTTCTAGACATTTTACTTCCCGAGCGTGAGCTAATAATCGAGTCCATCAGGCGACTGGCTACTTTCACATTTTCTCGATGTGTTATGACCCCTAGAGTACAAAAATACAGGTCTCCCGTTTCCGTCTGTCTATCCGCCGTCTGTGTGAATTTTTGTAGACAAATAATCTCCGAAACTACCGGACCGATGTTTGGCAAATTTTATATGGGTATTATGAATGTCATGTAAATGATAAAACGCTAACCAAACTTTGTCTAATCATCCCCACCAACAATATGATGACGTTACCTCAAAATTGTACATAGTAAATGGGTTCAAAATTGTATAAAATCACCTAGTCCTACACGTATAGTTTATTAACTCGTGTTGATTTTTTACGTGAGACATTCAGAAAATCAAAATTATACGTATAACAACATTTTGCAATTTAATGTTCAAACTGCAAAATCGAATGGTTTGAAATCTTGTGGGCGTTTTAAAGTTATCAGTAAATTTTTAACCAAAATATATATGTTTATATCTTATCCAAAATGGTGCAAAATATGATGTGTGTGTACTTGTGATTTATTATTCCATTAATATTTTTTTGGAATTGTTTGTACAGGGTGACTTAAAAAAAATAATGAATGAGTCAATTTATTTTATTGAATAAATTAGGCATTGCAACAGTCAATGCTTTGAAATTTTGCACACGTTTTAAACTTATCGCAAGCATAGTATTTTTTTTCAAAATATATCTGTTTATTAAAAAAAATTATGACGTCATCTCAAAACTTTACTGAACAAATCCTATCGAGAATGTGCAAAATATGATGATTGTATGATTCCGATTTATCACTGCATCCATATTTTATAGAATTGCTTATAGAGGGTGTCTCAAAAAAATTATGAATGAATCAATTTATTTTATTGATTAAATCAAGATCGGCTCACTTCACATTTCCTAAAAATTTGGGAATATAACACTGCTGTTATTAGTACTACACTGCACCTACTGAAATTGACATACATCTCCTTGCAAAAATGCTGAAGACGTCATCACATAATTTTATAAAGGAAAAACTTATTTGAAACATACACGTAGCATATATTTAATTTAACATTACATCCATATATTTATTTTAAATTATAGAGGTTCTCAAAAAAAAAAATAAAATTCGCAAAATCAAGTTTTAACATTTTTTTTTTCTTTATTTATGTATTCACCAATACTGTGAATGAAATTTTAAACAGTTGTCCTAATATTTCTATTTATTACTATTATAGTGCATTTAGTGACGTATATGACTTATTTTATCCATATTAATCAATAAATCCACAAATAAATAACAGTAATTTGTTTTTAAATTTACCTACAGTTTTATTTTAACATAAAAAAATTGTCATAAATAAATAAAGCTTGTAGTACCATTTTTTCACCTTGTCTGAAAAATACTATTCTTCTATCCATAACAGACTTCTTTAAAAAATTATAAGACATTTCAGTTAACGATCTTCTCAAGAAAACTTCTAATGTCATGTTGCTTTATTAACATACTTTTGTTTTACTGTTATTTGCAATGGATTTCCCAAAAAAAAAATAAATCACTGCGTGTATGAATCATTTTAGTTTCCAAGTGACGTTAAAGTGATGTCACATTAGGATATTCGTATATTTTTTAATATCAAAATTAGAGTAAATTAATTTTGTATTATTAAAAATATTGTAAAACTCTAGGTAGTATTAGTACTTCAACTGTTCTGACTTTTATTATTTGAACCCAAAATGTAAAAACGTTTTTCTTGCAGGAAAGAGCAGTCAAGGAACATTAAACGCAGTGTATTTTTTTTTATTCACAGAGAAGTTATTTTACTAAATATTTCATCTCAAAAACTTGTAATTCTAATTTACGGATTTACTAAATTAAGTAATGTGTGCATAACTTCTGCCTTAAAAGGGTATAATGAATTCCTTGATATAATCACTTTTTAAATAAATTGTCTGATTGATTCCACCAGAAATATTCATAAAAACTTTTGCCTAATTTCCGAAATTTTGTAACAGCGGCTATTCTGTGGATCTTCTACATTTAACGGTAGTTTTACTCAGTGACCGGAGAAACTATATTATTAATATTTAATTAGCTTCGATAGATAATCACAACCATTTGTTGAATCAGATCGGACGTTTGTTTACCACTGCCACAGGGCTAACATGATACTAACACAAAGAATTAACACTAAAAATATAAACACCACGCATTAGTATAGTTATTGCAAATACATTACTAAAGACAAAGACTACCTACTTGAGGAATATGTGCGGTGACCAGGTCAAGTCCTATCTTTTTAGTTAGACTTTAAAATGTCTTTGAAAGGGATTCTACTGCCAATAAATTTTCCACTACTCCCCGTCCCGAGGATCACAATTTCATTCACTCAAAGTGCATTCTCATGTCAAAATTTGGTGTTAGTAGGTATTTATCAACCCTTGCTTATGTCTATTCGTTTGCAATCGTCGTCGGTGCATACTCTAACGTTTACGACGTTGATTATTCAATATAGTTGAAGTAAGTAAAAAGATGGTGTCGACTGGTACTCGCAAGAATGATCTCATATTACTTGAATCACCTTTCCTGTAGGAACGTAGTGGTTCCAGGTTTGGATTAGGATTGATGTGCGACCAAAGATACATTGTTCAACGTTCCAGTTATAAGGCGGCGTCGTTAGGCGGAAAAATTGATCTGTTGAGTCTAAAATAGACTGAATAGTCGCGTTCAAAATTCCAAGAAATTTTCTTTCAGAGAGTGCAATTGTTTAACCACTCGCTTCCACATTTGTCCCCATAGATATACCTACCCCATATATGAATCATGTATATATACGTACCCGCTAATCGTCCACGGATGTAACACGAGCACAAGAGCCAAACCTAAGTAAGGTGAACGTCAAAATTCGAAAACTGTAGCCTGTGATTGGCTCAAGTCCGATTCCCATCTACTGAATTACCTGCACCAGCGCTAAGGTGAGATTGAGAGCGAATATAAACCATTAAATCACATTTTATTACTTAACTTTTCACAGCTTGTACAATACAAATATATAGGTTCTTTGTTTCTGTTTTTTGTCTTTAAGTGACTTTATCATACAGAGAATTTCTAAAAGTGTTGGACAGGCTATAAGGAAACTGTAGGTCTATTTTAACAATGTTGTGTTAATCGTAAGACGCTAATCAAATTTGTCTATTCGCCCTCACTAAACATTTGATGAAGACAAGTCAAAATTTTGTTAAATAATTCTCGCTTATTTGTGATTTGACATGTAGTGGTCCTCGAAAAATATCCAAATGGCTTTTTGTTAGTGTTACTTTACTTATCTAGAACCTGCATAGCGAAAATTTTCACAAAATACTAATCTTGATTTAGTGATTACTGACTGCAGAATATCGATTAAAATTTACTGAACAAGTATTTCTTAAAAAAAATTGGTCTAAAGTTAGTTAAACAGAACTTCCCTCGCCACTAAAGTACAGACGAACAAACACAGATTCTTCGAAAAATTATACGATTTGTAAAGAAGCATGCCATGCGT